AATTTGTCGGGGAGAAAAAAAAATTATATGTATTTTTTACATATTAGTAGACACTAAAATCGTTTAAATAAGCACTTGAAACCCATAAATTTTCAGCATTTTCGAGGGTTCGCCCCCCTGGCCATGGACCAATTTAAAGACATTTTAAGCGACGTTCGACCACGCCCACTTTGCTCTCGTCGGGGAAGTCTGCCCCCTGTCGGTGTATCGTCGGGCAAATCCTAGCACCACTCCTGCAGTATTGTTAAGCTTATATAATACATAATACCTAGTCACCCAAGGGCATTAAGAATTATCTTTAAGTAACTTTTATGGTTAAAGAAGGCTGAGTTTCCCCAAACTTTCAATGTTCACTTTAGATCATTGATTTTTATCAAGTATTATTAAAAAAAAGCTTACAATTTACTTACATTAGGTAAAAAATTTAAAGATCCAAAAATAAAAATTGTATAGAAACTATTGTTGATACATTGCCTGGTATTGGGTAACCATGAGGTGCTTTTTCCCAAAATGGTTGCTAATTACTACCGAATAGTGTATTGTCAATTCTATAGGATTAGTCCTATTATATTCTCTAATGGAAGTTCAGCTGCAGTTAAATTTTTTGCTATGGATGATTGATTCATTTTAGTAGTTCATTATTAGGTACCGAAACTTACAGGAGCGAGATGTAACTGAGGGATTCATAAGTATTTCTCTAACTTTTTTTTCTGTATCTATATTGAACATGATCATTTTTATGTTTGTGTGTTGTACTTTTGATGTTTGGTCTGTGTTTTTTTTTTTTTTATTATGTTACTATTTTTATTCATTTATTGATGTTTTGATAGAATTTATATAAATATGTTTATATATTCTTGTATGTAATATTTTATATAAAGATGGCACCCAGTCAGAGCTGATCAAGTCGGATCTTTAGGTCATCTTTTTTTAGGCCTATGTGTTTTGGTCATGTTAATTTTAACTGAATAGTCAAGAAATGCAATAAAACGGTCGATGTATGACGAGAAATTTTGTATAATTTTGTATTAAATCGTGTATTATTTTCCATCTGTACGTTTCCAAAAATGACTAGTAAGAACTTACTTAATGAAAATAATATAATATCTAGATAACAGCAAATGGAATATAGTTTCAGAAATGTCAAATGTTCTAATTTCTAAATAAGTACATATGCATGATAAGCGAGCTTTTATGAGAAAGTACTGTATTGCCTTTGGCATTCGGTATTCGACGCAAGACCATATCGTTTAGTTACTGCACCAATTGAGCTGAAGTAAGATAAGGTATTATTGGTTAATACAACAGAAATTTGTTTCTTTTTGAAAAATTAAGAATTATACACTGTATAAATGAGAGCACTTCAAATACACGGTACGTAAATTATAGATCAATCCTTTAGATATAATGCAAACATTGAAAACAAAAAAAAATTCAAATTTTATCAACACCAACTAAAATCACACAAAATATTAGATTAAAGGACCATCAACAAATAAAATAACAAAATATTGTTTTTTAGTGGTAATGATAATCTACTGTATTAGATAGCTGGAATAGCCTACTCCCTTGGATTGTATTATTTCATAATACAAGTGTTTACGCGTGTTACATCATTAAAGTTAGGCTACGAAGAAAACAACACTGATTTTTCTAAAGCCCTATCCAGATTGTCAAATTGTATTTTACAAAACATGACATATCTAACTTTGGTCATTGTGACATCACATCATCACCATATATAGGCACATCATCACTACTATGGGAATACAAAGATTTTATAGTCTGGACACAACTCCTTAAGACACGGGAAAGTTGTTTTAGGAAAAACTCGCCCCTTTCACTCCAGATTTTAAGTATTCAAAAATGTTTATCTTATTAATCGTTACCGAGTTCTTCGTCAAATACCGTTGTTTGTGTCGTAGAAAATTAAATTATACAACATAAAAAATATATATATATTTCCTCCGGAGTCTGGTTTAAGCCTAACACATCGCAACATGATGTCAAACAGTACAGTACGGTAGTTCTTTGTTCACAATTACAGTTAACACTTTTTTTATAAGAACCAGTAAAATTTTGCCCGAGCTCAGTGTCCTTATTTTTTGGCCAATTTCAGGCTCAAAATGTTCTTATTTTGTTCTTATTTTACACACTTTTCAAACATAGAAAATTATTATTGTACAGCAGTGTACTACTGTACTGGAATGTACATAAAAATGGCCCCGGAAAATTGGCCCCGGAAAAAATGGCCCCTGAAAAAAGGCCCCGGAAAAAATGGCCCCAAAAAAAGGCCCTGCTAAAAATGGCCCCAAATGACAGGTACGCCTACGGTACTGTATAATAGGGTATTACATAGTCACACCTACTGCACATAAGGTAGAGATATAATTTTGTGGCTTTTCTATTTATAACAAATAAAAACCTCATTTTACATTTTACCTGAGCCTCAATTTGTTCATATTTTGTTCTTAATGTTTAAGCAATTTCAGCCTCAGAGTGTTCTTATAAAATGTGTTCTTATAAAAAGTACGGTATACTGTACTATACCATGGCTATACATACTGTACAGATCTGTGGTTCGATGCACCCTTTAATACCCTGATAGGCAGCCTAGTGTCGAGATAGGATTTAGCATTGTTGCTTATAGCAGTCTTCCTTACAATTGGTTCAATAGCACTCGGTCTATGCATCAGTGAATCTTTTCTTCTGCCAGCGACACGGTCTGACATCACTGTTAGAATATTTGCAATAATTCCTCGCCCATTTCCACGACAATGCTATCAAGATGAATTTTGTTTCGAAAACCTAGAGCATCATTTTAAATGTGATATTATCGAGATTTCTTTCAGTTTGTTGGATATAATTAGGGTAATACATAGGCGTCAAGTATATCAAGGTAAGTTAGATTAGGCTGATAGCCTGAAATTACGTGTATATTATTTTCTGGGTACATAATTGATACATAGGCTTGTAGTACCCATTATTATTAGATTATAACGTCAGTGATTCATCGTCTATTTAGGCCTCCGC